ATGTGGTCCCTGCCTTTGGGAGACTTGGGGCCTACCAGGGACCAGCCCATCCTCTGGTGAGGCCACGCCTCTGGAGAGATTCAAATAAGCCGCCCTCCATCCAGGGCCCAGGAGGGCAGTGGTGTCTCAGGAGGTTCATTCTCGGTCCCTTCTCCCTTCAGGTTCCTGCCCATGAGACGATTCCTCTCTTTTCACAGACAGACAGAGACAGAGGGAGACAGGGAGACAGAGGGAGTCAGGGAGAGACAGAGACAAAGGGAGACAGAGACAGAGAGATGGAGGGAAACAGAGACCGAGACAGAGGGAGACAGGGAGACAGAGGGAGAAAGTGGGACGGAGAGAGACAGAGACAGACAGAGATAGAGGGAGACAGAGGGAGAAAGTGGGACAGAGAGAGACAGAGACAGACAGAGATAGAGGGAGACAGAGGGACAGAGACACAGAGAGACAGAGACAGACAGAGACAGAGACAGACAGGGAGACAGAGGGACAGAGACAGAGAGAAACAGAGAGGAGCAGCAGTTGTTCTACTTGTTCACGCCCATGGGTAGGTTCCTGTGTGCGCCCTGACCCGGGTTCCAGCTGGGCGTGCTGGGACGATGTTGTAACCTGAGCTCCTGCAGGGCCTGTGGTTAGTTCTGCACAAACACCGGCTGACAGGTGAGCTGTGAGGGGAAGGGGACCCGCTGAGGCCTGGGGGCCAGACGGGTTTTACAGAAAACAGGTTCGCGGGGGATCTCATGGCAGATTCCTAGCTGGGAAGCAGGTCGTGGGCAGTCACGCCCCAGGCACATGGCATTTTCAGGAAAAGGTTTCTCTTTGCCCTAAGCAAGCCCTGCCCGTATTTTTCTGAGTCCAGGTTTGAAGTAAGCAAAGCCACCTTCTGGAGACACATGATCTTGTCTCCTGTCCTGGAATCCAGCCCACCTCCGTCATCCTCCTCACGTTCCCGCCTCCATGTCAACATCTTTTAAGATCTTGCTCCAGGCGTAGGCCGTTGTTTTGGGCTCCAGTAAACCGACAAGAATCCTCTGCAGGTCGGACGGATGTTTTTGCCTTGACAGACCCAAAGAATTAACCCGTGCAGAGGTGAGAAAGTGAGGCTGGGAGAAAGAGAACAGTGTTCAGAGTTCTAACAAAGAGGGCTTGTCCCTAGGATTGACAGAAGGAAGTTGGGTGGGATGGGGCAGGGGTGGAGTGGGGGGAGCAGTTCAGGGGAGGTAACCTGCGACCTATAGGCCTTGTTAGTCTACAAAGGAGCTTGTGCTCAATCCTGAGGACAATGAACGAGGATTTCAGAGAAACATGCCATTTGCCTTGGCTCATGTGTTTTCCTCTGCCTGTGAGGCCCCTCCTCTCCGTCTCTTGTTTGCTCAGTCCTACAACCTGCTGATCCTCCCACCAGGCAGGGGGAACCCCTCCCCTGTACGCCAGCCTCGCCCCTGCCCCACCTCCTGCAAAGCCCCATCTGGAAATACTGGTGGGGAACTCAAGAAAAACATTTTAGCCGAAACCGGTTTTGCTCAGTGGATAGAGCGTTGGCCTGCAGACTGAAAGGTCCCGGGTTCGATTCCGGTCAGGGGTATGTACCTTGGTTGTGGGCGTATCCCCAGTAGGGGGTGTGCAAGAGGCAGCTGATCGATGACTCTCTCATCGATGTGATGTTTCTAACTCTCTATCTCTCTCCCTTCCTCTCTGTACAAAATCAATAAAATATATTAAAAAAACAAAACAAAACATTTTAGCTTCACAGGCGGGGCCCGTGCTGGGTGGAGGAGCTGTCCCAGGAATGGAATGTGTGACCCGCCCCACCCCACCTGCAGGAGACCCACCTCCGGCCTCACCTCCCGCCCCGGGAGGACAGCAGGGCCAGTGGGTTCGCCTGGGCTTCAGGGCCGGAACCGGATGCTCAGTCTCCGCACTGTGACTTCTGTCTGACCTGCTGCTCCCTCCGGACTCCAGGCCCTTCACTGCATTTCCTTCTCCATAGGAAGGGGGAGATGCACGGTGGTCTACTTAGGGTACATGACCCGCCGCCCTCTCAGCTCGCTGCCCTCTGAGTGACGTGCCCACCAGATCCCATCCTTGTCTCTCCTTACGGCTCTGGGAGTGAATGCCGACTTTTCCGTTTCAACCTCATCTCTCTTCCCCCGAAGTGGACGGACTCACATTATACTTTGTTTTGTGGGGAGCAGGGCAGACTGGTGGTTAGCAGTGAAGGTGCCGGGGTCAGAGGGCCAGGCCTGGGAGAGGGGAGTCCCGGCAGGCTAGAGATTGGGTGACCTGCCCCATAGACCTGCAGGTGGAGTCTGCTGTCCACAGCGCCCTTGGGACGATGCCTGGCACCCAGCATGGCTCTCAGGGCCTGGCACTCCTCTCCTGCCCCTCTGCTCCAGCAGCTTCTCGCCCACGGCGATCGTGGCCATTGTCCCTGCGCCCTGGCTCCGCACAGGACCTGCAGGGTGGGTGCTGGGGAAGCAGCCAGGACCCTGCTGTCGGGCGGGGAGTGGAGGGGAGGGGGGTAGAGGTGCCCAGCAGCTCCTCATTCAAACATCTCCGTTCCAGTTCGGCTGTCAGGGCGTGACCCCCCCTCCCCCCCACCCCGTCTCCTCTCTCAGCTTCACCTCTTCCTTGTAAAGTCAGCGTCTGCTTCCTCTGGGATGGGCATGTGGCCCGGCCTGGCCAGTCACAGCACTGACTTCACGGGCTGCAGCTCAGAGTGGTCCTGGGACACCCGTGAGGGCCCTGTGAGAATGACTCTTGGCTGAAACCCATTTGGCTCAGTGGATAGAGCGTCAGTCTGCGGACTGGAGGGTCCCAGGTTCGATTCCGGTCAAGGGCATGTGCATTGGTTGTGGGCACATCCCCGGTAGGGGGTGTGCAGGAGGCAGCTGATAGATGTCTCTCTCCCATCGATATTTCTAGCTCTCTATTCCTCTCCCTTCCTCTCTGTAAAAAAAAAAAAAAAAATCAATAAAAAAAAAATATATATATTTTTTTAAAAAAAGAAAAAGAAAAACAAGAATGACTCTTGGCAGTGTGACCGAAGCTACTACTATGGGAAAGACAGGCTCCCTCCCTCTGCCTCTCCCTCGCCCCTGGGGCCGGAATGTGGAAGAGTGTGGCTGTAGTGACTGGAGTCATTTGTGGCCCCGGGAGAGGACGTGGGGGCACGGAGGGCAGGAGCCGGAGGCAGGACAACAGGGAGTGGAGTGGAGGCAGCACCTCAGCGCCGGAGCGGAGAGAAACGTTGACATCACTGGGAGCCGAAAGGACCCTCACACCGGACTTCTCGGCTGTGTGCTCTCATCCGCACCCTTTGCTCACTCCAGGTTGACTGGTTTCCTGACCCCGGACGTGGCCTGTGCCCGGGCGCACCGGTCTGCGGCGGCCCTGCCACGCTGACCTCCTCACGGCCCGCCCCTCCCTCCTGGCAGAGCCCTGTGTGCAGGCCGCAGAGCTCGGCTCAGAGGGTGAGCCAGTGCTGAGCTGGGCCCTGTGGCCCCCTTCCCTTCTGCCAGCGACTGGCTTCGGGGTAAACACTCGCCCCCATTTGGGTCAATGAGGTAAACGTGTCTCCTGAGCTCCTGGGAGAGATCTGAACCGGCCAAAGAGGAGGCAGGTGAAGAGCCTGGTGCCCCTGCTCTCCACACCCGGCCCGGACGGACGGGGTGCTCGGAGCTGCTCGGCCACTTTGCAGGCCCGAGGGGAGACCTGTCAGAGATGGCCGAGGGGAGACCTGTCAGAGATGGCCGAGGAAGAAGGGACATCCTGCCAAAGCCAGTTTGGCTCAGTGGGAGAGCATCGGTCTGCGGACTGGGGAGTCCCAGGTTTGATTCCGGTCAAGGGCATGTACATTGGTTGCGGGCACATCCCTGGTGGGGGGTATGCAGGAGGCAGCTCCTCTATGTTTCTCTCTCATCGACATTTCTAGCTCTTTCTCTCTCTCTCTCTCTCTCTCTTCCTCTCTCTGGAAAATCAATAAAATATATTAAAAAAATAATAAGGGAAATCCTGTGGGTTTTACAGCTGAAGGAATCATTGTGAAGTCACGTGTCTAGACTCGTGAAGTCAGAGAGTAGACGTTTATGTCAGTTAAGCCCCTGCGTGTTGGGTGTTAGCGTTTGCAGCCACGGGCATTCCCGGTTGATATTAGAAATCGAAGTGACGTCGTTTAATTCCTCATCGAAGGAAGCGCACAGGCTGAGAACACCAGCTCCTTTATTATTATTATTTACTGTTATTGTTTCCCCTACAGAACACAATTCAGAAAACAACGACACACACGTCCCACCCGCAGGCACAGTACCGCGTCCTGCCCGCCAGGCCGCCTGGCTCTGCTTGGTTCCTGGCGGGGCTGTCTGGAGACAGCCCCCTCTGTAAACCCCGACGGGGACACAGACACGAGGAGGGGGACCTTAGCTAGAGGGTGAACGGAGGGGCTTCCGGACTCCGGGGGCCTGCGAGCTCAGGAACGTGGCAGGTGCCGGCGGAGGGGAGGGCCGTCTGTGTCCATGTGGCTGGTGGGGAACTCCCTGCGGGGAGAGAGCCAGGCGGTGGCCTCTGAGGCCAGGGCTGCGGAAACACAGTGGGGTGAGCTCCCGGTGGGGGGAGAGGGGGCAGGCACAGGCATGGGGGCCCAGAATAGGAATCTGGGGGAGGCGAGGTCCCAGAGAAAAGCAGCCCTGGCGAGGCGAGATGCTGCGTGCTCTGCAGCTGTTGGATGGACAACGTTTTTATCAAGACAGAAAAGTAAAGGAGAACACCTCCAGCGTTTAGGCCTAACGCAGCCCAGCAGGACTCGCCGATTGATTGCGCCCTCGGGTGCAAACACCTAGCACTACGCTCTGTAAGGGACGGGTCAGACTACCCTGGCCCCCAGCGGGTTGGTGGCACTAAGCCTATGAGTTGAGCTAAAGTGATGACTAAGGTCCCTGGAGTCAGAGAAGCCCGGGGATGGGGGGCAGAGGGGGAGGTGACGAGGATGGGCCAGGGCGGTCTCAGGTGCAGGGCACTTCCTGGCCGTCATGAGGAAGCTGGCCGCCGAAGCTGCCCTCCCCGGACGGGGAGTACGGGGGCACCTGGGGCGCCTCGATGATCAGCAGGCCCTCGGGGGACAGCGAGGCAAACACCGTGGCTGGATCCACCTCTGCCGGCAGCCTAGGAGGAGCACAGGGTTAGTCACGTATGTTAACGTGGTCCACATGTCCCTCTGTTCCTCCAACAAGAGAATACTTTTGATTAGAGCTCGGGCTTGGGGTGTATGTGCCGGTCCGGGTCCCGGCTCTGCCCCTTTCTAGCTGCGTGTGGTCCGGGGCAGGCCGCTCGGCCACTCGGGGCTTGCTCTCTCTCTGCACCATGGGGATGGCTAGATAAGATGTGGACCGCGCTTGGGGCTTTGCAAGCCTCTGTGAAGAATGTGGACACGCTTTGTGAGTTGTACAATGCTGCTCAGCAGGACCTTACAAGGGAACTGTGGCCCCGTGTCTGGTCCTGGCTGAAGTCTCCACTTGGCACCCACAGCTCACTGTTGGCAGAAATGGCCACCCTCCCCTCCCCGCGTGGAGCGAAGTGAGGTGTGTCTCACATTGGGTGGTGCATGTCCGCCTGCCACGTGCATTGCGGGTGGAATTAAGGATGGAATTGTGGGTGGAATTAAGGATGGAATTGCGGGTGGAGTTAATGATGGAGTGGGCAGTTTGGCAGAACGGGTTAGGCTGGCCGCCTGGCTAGAATGCCCAGGCCAGCGTCCTCGGGGATGTGTAGAATGACTAAGCATCCGAGGTGTTTGCAGGAGGTGATAGGGCTTTGTTCCCTAAACACACGTGTAGGCATGACCCGGGCAGAGCTGTGCGGGGGGGTCCCGGATGGTTCACAGGAGCTGGTAGCCTGCGGCATCGAGCACGTATAGCGACTCGGGGAAATCAGGGGACAGGCTCTGGGAGAGAGTGAGTGTCAAGAATGGGCTTTCTGGCCAAAACCAGTTTGGCTCAGTGGTAGAGCGTCAGGCTGAGGACTAAAGGGTCCTGGGTTCGATTCTGGTCAGGGGCATGTACCTTGGTTGTGGGCACATCCCCGGTAGGGGGTGTGCAGGAGGCAGCTGGTCGATGTTTCTCTCTCATCGACGTTTCTAGCTCTCTATCTCTCTCCCTTCCGCTCTGTAAAAAATAAAAAAAATAAAAAAGTGGGCTTTCTGGACCCAAACCCGGGTCCAGTTCTGAAGCTGTGTATATGGTTCAGGGGTTGTTTGCAGTGGATGAGGCTACCCAGGACACAGTTTCTTCAACAAACTGTTGGCACCGGGAGAAGCTGTGGTGGCCTCTCCGGGTGCCTTTATGAGTAAAAATCACAAAAACTGGGCCTCTGAGCGTGTGCTTCATCTAAGTCATCTCTTTCCTGTGAACCATCATCCCACCAGTCGATTCTGTTACCTCCCTGATTCACAGAGGGGGAGGTCAAGGTCAGAGAGGAGCGATTTGCCCAAGGTCACACAGCTGGCAATTGGCAGGTGGGAAAGGAATTGGAATCTTGGTCTCTGAATTCACAGTAGCTCTCTGGCGCCTGGCTTTTGAAAAAGGGACCATGGCGGGGGCGGGGAAGAGGTGGGGACAGAAGGTTCCATCACCACGCCAGCCACGTGGAGGCTGCGGACATTTGCGGGGCCTGAGGGGAGGAGGGTGAGAAAGAGGGAACGTGGGCAGCTGCCAAGTCGAGCTTCTGAAGTGTGTGTCCCTCCCCCGGCTGCTGGGTCAGCTCTGCTTAACCGTCCGCATGCCAACCCCGTGGGCAGGGATACGGTGGGAGAGGGTGGCAGTGTTTTTAAACGTATTGATTTTTAGAGAGAGGGGGAGGGAGAGGGAGAGAGAAACATGTGGGTCCACTAATTCATGCATTCCTTGGTGCTGCTTGTGAGTGCCCTGACCCGAGATCAAACCCTTGGCCTGTTGGGACGATGCTCTAACCCACTGAGCTACCCGGCCTGGGCCCTGAATTCAAATTCTGACTCGGCCTTGAGCCTGTGCTCTCACCCCCCAAACCCATTTCCTTAAAGGGGAAGGGGTAACGGAAGTGTCGGCCTCTGCAGGTGGCGAGAACCCCGGGCCTGGTCCCAGAGGTGCTCGCTGAGGGTGAGCTGTGCACTGTTCCGGCCGGGGGCCCTGCGGGCGGCACCCCGACGCTGTGAACAGTTCGGCACAAAGCCCGTGTCATTGACCCCGGAATGTCAGAGCCCCAGAGAGTCTTCACGGTTGCCCAGGACAAAGCTCTCGTTTACACCCGGGGACACCGAGGCCCAGCGGTGGGGAGAGACTCGGTCAGGGCCTCTGACCAGCTGCCTGGTTTGGAGGGGCTAATAGGCCAGTTCCCAAGGAGGAGTCTGAGTCACCCCTGCGCTGAGAGCTATCACACATCCCCTCCTGCCCCTCGGGGTGCCTCCGCGGGAAACGGGGGGCAGCAGCTCAGGCCGGTGGAGCCTGGACTCCCGACCCCCTGGGTGAGGTGAGAGATTTAACCTCAGGCAGCGGGGGAGGATTCAGGCCATGGAGAGGGCGAGGGTCCCGGGGACCCTTTGGTGTCTGGGATGTGGGAGCCCTGGGGGGGCAGGGCAGTCCGGGTGGCTGGTTGGTCGGGAGGCACCGGGGGGCGCAGGGCCCTGCTGGTGCGGAATTGTCACAGGACCCACATGCAGATGGCCCCGTTCTAAGGTGACCAATCCTTTCTGCCTCGGTCCCCCTCACAGCGCAGCTGGTCTGTGAGTGGAACACCTCATCTGAGCCTCTTGAAAGAAACATCCTCGCCCTCCCCACATGCTTTCCCTTCAGCGGCTGGACCTGGAGCCTGGCCGGGGGAGGGTCCTGGGAGGCGGGCCAGGCAGCAGACAGCGAGCCCGCTGCCTTATGGGGAAGTGCCCGCGGCTGCCAGGAACCCGCACCGCAGGGGTCAGGCCGGGACACGTGGGGCTGGGCCTTCGGGATCCCGAGGCCAAAAGGAGCCCAGGAATCCGGCTCCCGCTGTCTTTCCAGGCCGGCGGGGGAGGGCTGGTGGCAGCAGGGATAATGGTCCTGCCCGCGCCCGCTCGCCGGGGCTGCTGCGTGCGGGCCGGCACCGCCGTCCCCCGGGGCGGCCCTGGCCGGCTCACCCTCCGTCCTCCCTCCGTCCTCCTCCCTGGAGGCCAGGGCGTCAGGGAGAGGGGTGGCTCGGGGCTGTTCTCATTCTGCCTGCAAGGACCTCCCACCCCCTGTTCTCCACCATCAGGGAGGTGGTCTCTCCCGCCCAAAGGCTCAGGGCAGCCCAGACGGCAGGGCGCCGCCGGAAGCACACCTGCAGATGGCGGCTCAGAGACAGGGCATGTCTGTGCAGCGTTAGCCTCCCAGCCAGGAGGCTCCCTGTGGCTCTGCGGGTGGCCTTGCTCTCAGGATTCCTCTGCTGTGACATTTCCCCTTAGGGTGAAGGTTCAGTTCCCTGTCCCGAAGCCGGGGCGGGTGTCTCACAGGAGAGAGGCCAGGAGGGTCAGACCCCAGAATGCGGGTCCCAGCCCCTCCTTCCCCCACCCCCGCCCACCCGGAAACACACCCAGGGGTCACTTACTGGATCTTCTTGGTGAAGTTCTTGGACACAATGCCCCCCTCGTGCTGCTTCTCTTCGTGTTTGCCTGGAGGGGAGGAAGGCCATGTCAGGATCTGAGTCCCCTGGGCTCCCAATCAAACCCTGCCCCCGCCCCTGCCCCCGCCCCCAGGTCCTGCCCCTGCCCCCGCCCCCAGGTCCTGCCCCACTCATGGTGTGGCTTGGGGCTCCTGCAGTCTGAGCCTCAGGCCCCTCTCAGAGCCCACCTCCCAGGCTGCAAGGACAGACAGGAGGCCTTGGCGGAAGTTTGCAGACTGTGACGTGTTGTCAGGAGATCACGGAGCCGGGGCCCGGGCGGCAGTGCATCTCCGGAGCCCTCACTGACAGCACCCACCGCTCAGCAGCCAGGGGGGCCTGGGCCCTCCCCGCCTCCCAGGGTACCCAGGCAGGTATGTGGTTTGGGACATTGGCCCGTGGCCAGAGGAGCCCATGGGCCTTCCCAGCCTCCCAGGGTGCTCAGGGTTACCCCTGCCACTGGAACCCGGGCCCAGCCCCAGCTCTGAACATGCTCTCTCTGAGGCTAAGCTGGGTGCTGGGTCCGATCCTCTCTGCCGTCCCAGCTTCCAGTTTCTGTGCCTGGTCCTGAGAGAGCAGCCAGCCCAGCTGCAGCCATGCTCCAGCCGCTGGCCAACCCGCCCGGCCTCCCAGCGGCCCCCCTGAGCCCGGGGCGGCTCCTGGTGTGAACTGCCCGGCCCTCCCGCAGGGGCAGGGAGGGGATGTCCTCCTTTTATTTTCTTTCCTCAGGAAGGAAAAGGATGAAATTACAAGGAGGCCGGGTCCAAGCTGCCCCTCACCTTACAGTTTACACAACAGATTCTGAGCCTGGGGCCATTTCCCATCCTTACTTATTTAAATGGAGGGCATCTCTGATTTCTCTGTAAACAAGGAGTTGGTGTCGGAGAGCCACTCCCCTCCTCATCTGTGGGGCCACCACGGCCCAGGGTGAGGGACCCCATTTACTCAGGGACACCCCTCCCCTCGGAGGGGCTTGGGGATCCAGACTGAATACCCCGGTGGGATATGTTACTTCCTGCGGTCCCAGATTTTGAAAAACTGACCATTTCTAGGTAACTACATTATTAATGCTTTTTTATTCATTGCTCCTTAATGACTTTTTCCTGGTTACGAGATAATGCATGTGTAAGTGAGGAGATGTAGAAAATAATGAAAAAAAAAAAATCAAAACGGCCCGTAGCCCCATCGCCCTGAGGCAGCCGCCGGCGTTTCCGTGGATGTGGATGCCCAGACCCTCGCTCTGCACTCAGAAACGCACCGACGTCACACGGGGCGGCTGCGCGTCACACAGCGCGTCACGGGGACCGGGGAGTGCGGCTTTCACACACCGTCACACTCTCTGCGGGGCCATCTTTCCGTGGCGGCGATGTTCCTGGACACGGTTTTTCATGGCTGCCCGGCGCTGCCCTGGGGCCACGCAAGGCCACGCAGCCAGCCCTCTGCTCTGGGGCACCGGGCGGCTCCCGATGGGAAAGAATATCCTTGGGCTTCTTTAGGGCGGATTCCGGGTTCTAGAATGTCTAAGCTCGGTCTGTGCTGCTCAGTCACCCAGCGGGGCAGAAGGGGCAGTGACAGGGAGTGGTGTGGACGCGGGAGTGTCTGTGAATGTGCCGATGCTCTGGGAGTTTGTTCCGGCTGCCAAGTCCCTGACCACCCGCGGTCCGCGCCCACGCCGGCCCGCGGCCAGAGAAGCCCGTAGGCCCCCGTCCCCTCCCCGGGGCCCGGCCTCTGAGGCTGCCTTCCTTGGGGACAGGCCAGTGCCTCTGACTCAGCCCTTCCGCACACTGCATCCTGGGAAGGATAGAGGAGGGAGCGGGGGACAGAACAATAATAACAGCAAACTCATACAGCACGTGCGTGGTGTCAGCCACTGTTCCAGGCGCCTCGTCTATAACAACGCCTTTCGTTTTCACACCAGCCTTATTCTTGGATTGTTGTGGCGAGGGAACAGACGTTCAGAGAGGTTAAGCGGTGTGCCCGGGGTCACACAGCTTGGGAGAGCAGGAGCAAAGGTTCAAAGGCAGGGATGTGGTTTGGGACTCGAGTCCCTGCTCTGACATCTGCTTTTCTCAGAGCCTCCGTGTCTTGCTCTCTAAAACGGAGGTGACAGCAACATCCTAATTTCTGGGTTTCTGTGAGGCGTGAAGGACAGCGAGGCACAGACTCGCTTTGTAAGCTGTAAGGCTGTTGTGGGAAGGTGAACGCTCGCGGTTTATTTTGATGTTTGGGACAGGATGGCCCCTCGGAAGTGCACCCTCCCTGTCCGTGCTCTGAGAACCAGGTTTTGGGGTCAGGGAGGAGAGGGCCTCTGATTCCCTGAGGGGGCCTGGGCTGGGATTCACCTGGTTGAAAGAAGGTGTTGAAGTCTTAAAGCTTCATTTGCATAGATTTGAATATCTACTTAGTAGGGGCAGTTGAAGGATTATGAGTCATCTTCAATTTCTTACTTTGCTTTCCTGTTTATTTTCTACGTGGGAATAATTTGACTTTGGTAAACATAAAAAAGTAATTATGATGATTTAAGAAAGAAAAACAGGACTCGTCTGCAGTCCAGGGACCCTAAGAGGCCACTGGGAGCCAGGGCCCGGGGAAGGAAGAGGCTGTCACCAGGCGGGGAGGCCGCTGGGGGAGGAGAAGGGCTGGGCATACGGTCTTGGGGGCTTTCCAGTCCCTTCCGCGGCCACAGCCTGGCCCAGTGGCCCAGGAGGCAACGTTTCTTGGCCGGTGGCTACAGGGCGGGGGCGGTGAGAGGCATGCTGGGAATTTTCTGGGCCGGCACCATCAAACACTGCCTTGGAACGGACGCTCACAGGTGTCAGATAAGACAAGGCGTCTCTCAGAGGCAGAAACCACGTTAGCAAACTCAGCGCCCCGCCAGGCCCACGGTGTTATAATGCTGTTTCATGTGGCACCTTCTAGAATTCTGGCCCCCTCCTCCAGCCATTCCTCAGATGTCTAGTGACAGCTGAAAGAGCCCTGTTTGGCAAGCACTGACCCCGTCCACCTTCATGGTAACGCCCAGGGGAGGAGGTGGTAGGGAGGTTTTGCCCTGGGCCACGTAATCAGAACAGGGAACTGGCTAGGCTGGCCTGGCTTTGAATTTCAGACATTGCCATGGAGAAGTGGGCGATCTCAGTGAATTCCTCTCTCTGGGCCTCAGTTTCCTCGTCTGTAACATGGGTATAACAAACCTAGCCACGTTTACTCAGAAGTCCACACGAGGAAGCAGCGAGCCAGCCTGTGCAGACATTTCGCACAACGTGCATGGGGAATGGGTTTGTCACTATGTGCAGGAGGGGAGACGGTTGCATTTTAGACGGAGCCTCTGCTGTCGGTCTGATGTTTCAAACCGCTTTGGGGAGAGAGACTCTGTATGTCCCCTCAGGGGATCTGGATCCTGTCAAGCCAAGGTGGCTAAGTGCATGCCTGTGAGCATTTACAGCCTCAAAAGGCTTTGTCCGTCTTTGTCTCTTTTATGTTCCCCAGTGACCCCGTTTCACAGATGTGGAAACTGAGGCTCTGCAAGGCGTTCAGAGCCTCTGGGTCAGTAAGTGACGCAGCTGGGATCTCGGCTTGGGGCTGCCGGTCCCATTGCTTAAGAAGCACCTGGGAAAGGAGACAGAGGGGCTGGGCAGAGTGGGGTGGAAAACTCAGGAACCTTAATCAAAACGAAGACAGAGAGGGTGGTCATAATGATGCCCATTTCCAGGCGCCAGGCGGGCACCATCGCCAGCTCCATTTTACAGTCACGTTCCATACTGTCTGCATGGACGTAAGCTTCCCCGTGGGGTAGATATGATGATGATCCCATTCAGCAGATGAGGAAACTGAGACTCGGCGGGGAAAAGACGCTCTTGCCCCCATCCCTCTAACAGTGCCCAGCAAGGCCGGGTGGGAGCCAGGACCCGAAGGCCGCCCACCGTTAGGATTGCTCAGGGCCTTCCCGTGAGGCCGGCATTTCAGCCACATCAGCTTCGGTAACAGCTTCAGGCATCTGTACCCTCACGCTGCATGCATCAGCCCACTGGACACCATCATCCCTGTGCCCTTGTGGCTCTGTGGACCCCAATTTCCATCCAGATTAGGAAGCACAGCAGAGAGCCGCTAAGTCATCGGCACAGCCTGCCGGTCTCGGTCTCGGGGAGCCGGTTTCAGAGCCCAGCCCGCTGCCGGGCCGCGGCTCCCGGAGCCCAGCTGACCCCCCGGCAGCACGTGGCCCCCGCCTGACTCCGATGTTTACCATTCCGACCGGCCTGCCGGGCTTTGAAACTCCCCGGAACCCTTCCTGCCGCCGCTCGCAGTGTTTGCGAGGCTTTTATGGATTTTCTGGCGGCAGAGCCTGCTGGGAACCGGCTCCTTTTAATGGAGCTCTAATTGCCGGGAAGCTTCAGAAAGCGTCTCCTGTCTCGGAGCAGAGCGTGGGCAGGCCCGGCTCTTCCTGTGCTGACTCACAGCGTGACCTTGGGCGCATCCCAGGCCCAGCCCAGCGGTGGGACTGGAGGCCTCTGTCCCAGGGCGGGAGGCGTGTGGGGAGAAGGAACAAGAGGTTTAGGCCGCTCCCTGGCCCTCGCAGGGGCTTACATGACCGATTCGCCTCTGGACTTGAGCCTGGGGCCTCGGGAGAGTTCCCCCAGCCTCGGCTCCCTGGCCTGTGAGAGCGGAGGCCACGGGACCCTGCCCTCCGGGCCCGTTGACTGAGAAGCTTCAGCGCAGCGCTCAGTGGTCTGGCAGACAGCAGCTCCGTCAAGGTGACCAGTTTGTACCCTGAAACCTCCCGTGTTCTCATCGGGGACAAGGGGAGTGTCGCCCTTGAAGCCAAGCTGCTGCTGACACCCCACAGGAAATGCCCCTTCCAGGCTGTGCTGTGATGCTGGGGTGCCAGGAACCCTGTTTCTCTTCTGTCTTTCACCCCCTGTGCCTGGGTCACTCCTTCCTCTGGCTTCCCCGGCCCCATATCCGGCCCGGCTCCTGCCGCCCTGCGGCTCTGATGGACGGGCCGGCCGGCGCCCCCGGGCCCCCAGCTGGCCAGGCCAGGGGAGCTCTCCCCAAAGGGGCTTCTGGCTGCATTCCTGAGCCCTGAGGTCGGCCTGTCAGCCGGCATAGCTTCTCCTCTGGAGGGAGAAGTCCCTGAGCCGTTCCAGCCTGCAGCCCCCACCCCGCCTCCCCTCTCCCTCCTGCTCCCCACTCACCCGACACCTCCACGTATCTGTCCTTGGTCTTCACCATCAGCTCCTCCGGCTTGAAGCTGTGCACATTGACACACACCTTCCAGGGCTCCCCGGGGAAGGGCGGGGGGCTCCTGCCATCCGCGGGCACCCCGAACCTGCCCGTGGCGGTCGGCACCCGGGGCACCGTGCCGGGCCGCAGGGACCCCGGCCAGGCCGAGGAGAGCCGGGGCATCGCCCAGTCGGGCCAGGGGGCAGTCAAGTCATCGGGGAAGGGGTCCATGCCAAAGCCATCGTCCAGCAGGCGGGAGGAGAGGGGCGAGTCCCGGAAGGGGTCCCTGCGCAGGCGGCTGGGGTAGTGGCAGGAGAAGGGCATCTGACCGTCGGCCATGGCGGGGGGCTGCGCCGGAGCACACGCGGAGGCTCAGAGAGAGGGCGCCGCCTGCCCAAGGTCACACAGCAAGGGGATGCGGTGGGCTAGCCTTCCCAGCGAATCCTTCAGCCTCCAAAGCTGCTGCAAATCCACTGCGGGGGGTGGGGGCAGGCACCAGGCTGGGGTCCCAAACCCCAAAGACTCTCCTCCGGCCGCTACAGCCCCCCGGGCTGGTCCTGCGGGATCCGCAGCGCTCTGTCCTCACCGCCTCACCCGCGGTCCGCCAGCCTCTGTGCTCCCGGGCTGTCCAGGCTCCGAGCCAGAGCCGCCGAGGTCTCAAGCGGAGCCAGGAGCTTAATAAACCCTGGGACGCGGGCCTAGAAACTTCTCCTGGCTTCTGGCTGGGAGCCTTTTATTTATAGCCGCTGCAGCGGGAGGCGGGCGCTGCCCACCGTCACGGGAGTATTCCGAGGTGATGAACTAGCCCCGCTCCGGAGGCCGCTGGCCCCAGGGGGCGGGAGGGCCGGGCAGCCCGCCCCCGGGACAGGCTCTCCGCCCCCAGCCGGCCCTGCCCGCCCTCCCGCCCACCCTCCCCGGAGCCGCCCTCCCAGCCCAGCCAGCACTTAGGGCCCCGGCTATTAATAACCCTGTGCTGGCTGCAGGCTCAGATCACCCTCTGCAAATACCCCGTCTCCCCTCCCCCGCCCCCGTGCCTGCCGGGACCTCAGGGGGACCAGGGCCCCGGGAGCCACGGGTTTGAGGGCAGATGGTCCCAGTTGCAGCAGCAACAAGCTCTGAGCTTGCTTCCAGTGTCTGCCCCAAGCGCCGGAACCCACATGTGAAATGGACCTCGGAGCAGGCAGCGCAGAGCCCTGAGGAATGGGGTGCAGCCTCCGGCGCTGGGCGGACGTGTTTTTTCAGTTTCGTTCCTACCCACCAGACGCTGGGCCAGGCCCCTTGAAACCGCGTGGGACTGGCGGCCTCTCTGTTGTCACTACAGCGTTAACAATGAAACCAGCAGCAGGTGCGATTCCAGGCTGGGGTGTCCTCTGACCCGGGAGGCCAGAGAGGACCTGTTGTCCTGTTCCCCGCCCCCCTGCCCCCTCCCCAGGGGCTTGGAGAAGCACTGCGCCCCCTTTGGTGGGAGGCCCCAGCGGGTGGGCGATCTGGGGCCGGCGGTCCCTCTGCGGGCCCTGCCGGGGTGGTGGGTGCGGAGGAATTCAGTGAGTCACTGGCTGAGAAATCCCTGTGATGTTCGGCGGTGCCCGCATGAGGCAGCTGCTAAAAATAAGAGCATGGAGGGTACCCGCACTCGCCACCCTCCACTGCCCGGCGAGCCCACCCTGCGGCAGGGAGCACCCCGCTTTGCAGGCAGGGATACAGGGTGCGGGTTAGGCCTCCCGCGCACACACACACACACACACACACACACACACACACACACACAGCTATGGGCGGCAGGGCCCGGAAGGGGGTCTGGGTTGTTCTTGAGTCTCTGATGCCTGCTGAGCAGACTGACCGGACCCCAGGAAATGCAAGTGGTGACCCCACCTGCCTCGCCCTCTGTCCACCTGGCCACATCCCAGCGACCAGGTCCCCACTGGTCCCCACTGGTCCCAGATCATCCCGCTGGGAGCATCGGGCTGACGTCACCGCTGGGCCGGAGCCTCCCGCTCTGTAACTGCTGCTGGGCCAGCGCTGGTGTGGAGCCCGGATGCAGGGACTGGATGGCCCAGAGGGCACTGCCTGGCCTGGCACCGGACCGGGGCCGAAGAGGGACCTGGTGGGTGGGAAGGGGGAGCGGCGGGTTGAGTGGGTATGAGTGGGTTTGCTGTGGGTTTGAGTGGGTTTGCTGTGGGTTGAGTTTGCAGTGGGTTGAGTGGGTTTGCTGTGGGTTGTGTTTGCTGTGGGTTTTATGGGTTTGCTGCGGGTTGAGTGGGTTTTATGGGTTTGCTGCGGGTTGAGTGGGTTTGCTGTGGTTGAGTTTGCAGTGGGTTGAGTGGGTATGTCACCCTGTGTCATGCCGGAAAGGCTAAGCCAAGTCCTGTCTTGCTGACAGCTCGGAAGGACGGTCTCGGCTCATTCATTCTCTGGCGCATTCGTCCAGACATAGTTCTTGGTTCTTATAAGCCAAGCACGCGCGAGGGCCAGAGCGGGAGCCGTGCGGGGACGGGACAGACGACTGGCTCTCCTGTCTGGCAGTGAACACGTCACCAAACCGCAGGGAAGTGTCGCAGGAGCTGCCGTCGATGAAGGAGATGGAGGCTGTGGCTCCCTTTCTGGCCCACCCCCTGCAGCACCCTCCTCCCTCACCCTGAGTCCCGTGGCCTCCTGTCCGTCTGTCCCTCAGACAGAGCCACACTGTTCCCGTCTGAGGCCCACACCCGCCGCCGCCACCACTGCCTGGGCCGCCCGCACCTGCCGGGCTGGCCCTCCCCTTGGTGACCCTGGAATGGCCCCTCCTCCGAGGTCCCACCGCTCGGCCTGAGTCCCTCTCCTCAGCCGCTTCCTCTCCTCAGCAGCACTTCTGTCCTGTGTGTTTTTGGCCTCTTCCCTCCGTGCCAGCCACGAGGGCCGAGGGCAGGGACTGGCCCTGAATGCGGCCGGGTCAGCGGCACCAGCACAGGACGGGCGCCTGCATCGAGCACAGCCAAGTCCTGGCGCCTGTGCTGTGAGGCGTGTGGGTCAGTGAGTGGGAAGCGGACGCCAGCCTGAGGCTGCCGGTTCAAAGCATTTGGTGGCCTCTCAGAGGAGCAGAGTGCCTGCCTGGCTGGCCACCGCGCCCCGGTCCCGGTGAGCCACAGGTCTCTGCTCCTCCCAGCGCGGGCACCTCAGATTTGTCTGCAACGAGGGCGTAGCCTGGCTGTCCGACCTCTGTCCCTCCTGTGCTTATTGGTGTGGCTTCCGAGAGCATTCCCAGCGCCCCCTCCGAGGGCCACCCCTGCTTGGCTGCCAGGAGCCATCGGGGCGGTGCCTCTCCTGGCTGTTGGGGTTCTGAGGCCTTTGGGGGAGGGAGAGCTGGAGGGAGTGCCTTTCCCAGGGAGCTCTGAGGTCAGGGCAGAGCTGGTTGGACCAGTTGGTGACCCTGACACTAGGCATCTGCTTTGGAAAGAAGCTTGTTTGTCAGTTTGTTTTGTGTTGCTTTTAGGTCTGGGAGTTGGCAGCTCGCTCCTGGGTGGTTCAGCCTGAGGGTTCTCCTGGTTTGTGTGGGGGAGGGAAGAGAGGCGGGGGGGGGGGGGGGGGCAGAGAAAGAGCTGGGAGGATGATCGAGATGGACAGGAGAGCTGTAAGCACACAAGACATCCTGTTTGGGGCTGTTTCACCCTGAATGTGAGATGAGCTTTGACTGTGAGTAGCAGAGTCTACGTAACAGCGGCTGAAACAAGAGACAGGTGTCTTTCCCTCGTGCTCAGATCCAGACTGTCTGGCACTGACATCGGGCTCCTGCTCCACAAAGGCTGGAAACAAGACCTTCCCATCTTCCTGTTTTGTCTCCATGGGCTCCGTACCCAGAGCCACTCATGGACCAGAGGGCCGCTTGAGTTCTGGCGTCATACCCACATTTTGTCCAGCAGGAGGGAGGGAGGGAGGGAGGGAGGAGGAGAGGGAAGAAGGGGGGGAAAAGGAAGAGCCCACACACAGATCTATAGAGATTTCTGAAAGCTACCACACAAAAGTTCTGCCTATATCTCGTTGGCCAGCATTAGTCACATGGACACACTTAGCTGCAAGGGAGGCTGGGAAGTGCAGTCTTTGGGCGGCTATGAACCCAGTTAAAAAACGGAGGGGCTTTATTGCTGGGATGAAAGGGCAATGTCTCTTGAGAGGCAACCGAAGGAACCTCTGCCATAACCTGAGCGTCAAGACAGATTTTGCAAATGATTCCAAGTTGGGTTCCTTTGGGAAACTGGTGAGGATATGTACTTTTCTGCACCAAAATGCGGATATTTTTATGCATAAAAGCTTAGTGGGAGGTCATGGATTCCCTTTGGTTAAGATCACTCCATCCAGAAACAGGGTAGAGATGAGAGAGACTGGAGGGAAAAAATGTGTGTGTGTGTGTGTGTGTGTGTGTGTGTGTGTGTGTGCCACTCATACATTCCATATGGTTGGTGTCTATTTTGGTTTAGACTCCAGCGTAGATTGTGAAAGGGCCCAGCGTTATACCTGGAGAAATGATCTGAAAAAGTCCGTTGGCAACGGAAGAAAAAGACAGAAAGGAGCACTGCCCTGAGCCACGTGTCCGTGGTTGGCCGTAGCGATGGAACCTGGAGGGCCGGGAGCAGCGTCATTGAAAAATTAATAAAACGCTAATTTTTAAAAAGCATGTTATTCTCTAATTTCAGGACATGAACCCCAGAGCTGCCCCTGGAGTTGGACTGGAAGCAGGTGCCATGTGTCTGTCTGCCTCGCTGCCCCGTCTCACGCCCAGGAGGGACCGGCCCTGAGGGCAGAGCGGAGAGGGTCTCTGGCTCCCTACGTGCGGCCTGGCCGCCTGGCCGCCCGGCTGCTCGCCGCCCGCAGCCCCATCGGTGAGCCCTCGCTGCTGGGCCTGCGGGGCTGGCGTGGGGGCGGTGAACGGCCGGTAAGGCTGGTCCTCTTGGAGGCGGGCAGTGCCCTAACACACACACACACACACACACACACACACACACCATCCCCCCCCACACACACACACACCATCCCCCCCCATACACACACATACACACACACACACTGTCCCCCCCACACACATACTGTCCCCCCTCATACACACACACACACACACACACACCCCGTCCCCCCCATACACACACACTCATACACACACACACACACATACACACACACACCCTCCATCCCACACACACACCGTCCCCCCCATACACACACACACACACACACACACCCCGTCCCCCCCCCACACACACACCGTCCCCCCCATACACACACACACACACACACCCCGTCCCCCCCATACACACACACACACACACACACACACACACCCCGTCCCCCCATACACACACACACACACA